TCTCTCTCTCTCTCTCTCTCTCTCTCTCTCTCTCTCTCTCTCTCTCTGTGTGTGTGTGTGTGTGTGTGTTTCGTTCTCTTCAAAGGTGCGTTCGCCGAAGAACATTTGGCGGCAATTTCAATGCGTAGTTTGTGCCAATCCAAATCCAATTTGTGATCCTTGAAATAAATTCGATTTATGTTTTCAAAAAAAAAAAAATGAAAACGCCAATCTTTGGCCGTACGATAGAAAAAAAGAGAACAACAGCAACATTTTTGTTCAATTTTAATGCGCGCACAATCAAGCAATTGAGTTTAGATTTTGGTGGCTACGTGGCTAACGACAAACTTGTTCAAACACATACAAACATACAAACGTATAAAAATCCATGAACATATTTATTAGATTAATATTATTGGAGTGGTAAAGTCTATGTTACCATTGGATTTGTTTTTCTCGATGCTGTTGTCGTCCAATGTCAAAGTAACTGCTTCAATTCAACATTAACGATGTCTTTCACTTTGGATTTGCCACTGATCCACAAATCATCCACGTTTCGTTCATAATTTCATGCAGAACATTCGTTCTGAAATTATATGTCTGAAATTCGTCCAGAAATCCTTAAAATGTTACCAAATTCAAACGAAAAAAAGGCTGAAGAATAAAGATTCAGTGTGTGCGCTGCCAATGATGGAGAACCCATTTACAACCGGTATGCTAACCACAAATGCATTTGAAAATCGGTTCATATTTTCATTCACTGGTTCTATATAGTACATACATATGTTTACGTTTCTCTTCTTTCTCCCTTTCATTTTGGTTTCTCTCACTCTTTTTTCATTTTACTACGTTTTCACGAAATATATGTATTATTCATACGAGTATGAATGGCAAAACCATTCGAAATACTGTGCAAAATGCGAATACCGCAGCTCCGGCAGAAGCGCCGGAAGCAATTTCATTTTGAACTGATTTGCGAGTTTTTAAAACAAGAACTGTTTACTTTTTCGACAATTCCCTAAGTATTTATATCGATTTTTGACAGCATTTCACCGAAACTCCCTCACTTTATCGCTCTATTTTGTCCATATTGTTTTTTTTTTTCGTTCGTTTCGTTGCATCAACATAGGACGTTCATCGAAAGACATTTCATCAAATAATAATAATGATTATTTTTTTCGGTTTGTGTAATTTCAATTTCAATTCGATATCATTTTCCATTTTTCATCAAATCCAAATGCATTCACAATTTTGTTATCGCTTTTTTTTTCTTCATCGCAATATCGATATTCATATTTTATATCAATTAGATGATGAAAGTATTAGGCAAACATATGAACAAATTCTATCTCTGTCTCTGTTTCTGAAAAAATGTTCAAAAGTGACATATATTGTCGATTTGTTATTGCAAGATTAGAATTTGGATTATGACAAGACTAACACCGATTTCGTTATTCATCCAAAACTTTGTGCAAGTGCCAAAATTCACAAACATTCATAAAGTATGAAATGCATAATCAATTGGAGTTTTTCTATTAAAACTTATTCAAATGACTGTTATTGAAACATACTGTATCAGTTGATATTTGTATTTCGCTTATTTTCATTATCTTTTCATTTAAATTAATTCCTTTAGGCTTCTACTTCATCAATTTTCAACAAATGTTACCACAGCCATTTGAAATTAAAATTGTTGCGCAAGTGACGTTATTTTTTAATAACAGTTTGACGCTGCTTTGATTTGGGTGTATTTTACTGACAAATATACAACAGATATGCTTTGAACCTCATCTGTTGCAATACCCTTTTTAAATCGAAAAACATGTTAAATGCAATTTGGCCACCGACGAGGTGTGGGCGTTAGATTTGTTCGAGTGCGTTTCAAAAAGATATGTTTGAAAAACAAACATCTTCAAAATACGTATTCTCAACAAACATTGCTTGAATGCCACAGGTCATGGTATTTGTGTTTGTTCGTAATCTTTAGTCTGATAAATTGCAATATATTGAAAAACATCGAACGTACTCCTTTCGTTCGGTTTTTGTTGTTGTCACGTAAACATGCCCACTCAATTGCTTATATACTCCGGATATTCGATTCATTTGTATTGTCACTAAATAAACATTTAATAAATAAATTCAAAACAATTGTGATAAGTGAAAATCACAAATTGAAAAAGTAATTAATATTGTTCGTTTTGATCGGTTTTTTCTCTCTTCTCCAGCTTCTTATGAACTTCTTTATTCGAAAAGTTTTCGTCGAAAACTCAGCTCCATCTAAAAGCCAAATTAAAAACGATATACGCACTAGTGTTGACTACATCGTTATCGTTCGGACTATGTCTAGCACATTTATGAAAATCTTCATTCACTTAGAATCGATTTGTTTGTTTTATGAGAATATTTAATATATAATATATATATCGTACGTTCGTTTCGATTAAGCATTCTCAAAATTGAGTTGAAGTTGTTTGTTAAACTAATCCAGACAAAAAGATAAATCAACGTCTTCGTTTTTGCATTGCCAGTATATTCGATTATCTCCGATAGTGGAAACGTTAATTGAATAGCCATGTTTACATTTCACTTGCTCAAGTGTTTTGATAATTTTTCGATTGTCTTTGGATAAAAATGGATTTCGACAAACATGACAGGTTGTCAAGGACAGTTAGCAAAACTGGATCGGAATTCCACATTCTGCAGTCAATGCACACTTTATTCGATTTCAAATTTATTTAGGTGCACACGCACCATCCATTTTTTGTGGGCAAAATGGAAGTTTGTTGTTGAAATGTGCGCCACGGTTGTAAGCCCCGTTTTTTTTATTCGAATGATGGTAAAGGAAATTTTCATTTGGGGCCGTTGAAAATGTTTGTTGTAAGAATAAATTTTCTTTGTCTTCATATCGATTCGATCAATCGAACTTTGTAAAATAATTCGCAACCAATAAATATGCTACATCAATTTCCTTGCGAGTCTGTCATAACTCTTTTCTCAAATGCGCAGCAAAAACTTTCATGTAACACGTAAAAATGGTGCACGTTTGCATTATCACAACGCAAAGTCTCAAATCTAATTAATCTATCTTCGTTTCTGATAAAATTGAGTGAGTAGGTTACGGTTGAAAATGCGTCACACGAGTTGTTTTTTTTATTCTTGTTCGATTCAAGTGGCAAACGCTTGCCATTATTTTATCATCTGTCTTTCATGTCATACTGTCAATTATCAAGCAATGTTTCTTTAACTTCAAGGTGTGCGTGTTTGGATATGAGTTTTTCATCGTTATTTCTTACAACAATTTTGTCTGGCTGTCGATTATAAAATAGCAGCACCTATAACTGTGATATACAACAGTTTTGATGGCATTTACCAACTACTTCCATCAACGCAAATACAATTTGAGGCACCATTTTTTTTGTCGTTTCGCACCATGAAAGGATTTTCTTTTATTTACAATTTAAATTTATTTTACACCACTGAACTATTCTTAGAAACTATTTCTCTCAACAAAAATTCAAAAAAAAAAAAGAAAATTAACTGTAGCATTTTCTGTTTGAAATTGTCACTGCTGTGAGTTGGCACAGTTTCGAACAAGATGTATGCGTAATTGTTTGCCAGCTTCTGGGGTTTCCTGTATATCAAATGCAATCGATTAAAATGTGATACAAATTTCAACAATGCCAAGTTTGTTCGCATACCCAATCCAATTTGCCCAAAAATCCATTCATTGATAGACCAATACCGATTGCTTCTTTGGCAATGCACCTGAATGTAGACCAAATAAACAAAAAATGGAGAAAAGTAACAGCACAGAAATTGATTGTATTCTTTTTCACTCGTTGATATCAATGGCATTTTTTTTTGTGTTAGCATATTTTCGTTTTTCAAAGCCGAAAACATTTTCGATTGAATAAATGAAAATTACCCTTGAGCTGAAAACCCGTTTAACTTAAGACATGCGAATATGTTGCCAATATTGTTGTGCAATTTTCTTTGGACATTTTGCCATATGCCTTGCACATGATTTTCGGTGACAATGCTATCAATTGTGTCAGTCACACATTGTACCTTTGTAACCGAACTGTTTCGATTCAAACCGTAGTTAAGTGCTTGGGATTTGATGCTTTTTTCATGCGGCTCTATTGATGCACTCGCTGCTGCCGGTGCACTTACAATTGCCAAGAAAATGACAAGTATTTCGACGACACGTTTCATTTCAAAGTAGAAATTGAAAATTTTTGTCAAAAGTAGCGAAACAAATGTTGGATTTTTTTCTCTCGTCGATCAAAAAAAAAGAGTTATATTTGAAACTATCTTGGAGTCGACAGAGGGACAGAAAGAAAGAGATAAAGAAAAACACATTGGATAAACTAGCTGATGGTTCGATGTGATGAATACATTAGTTTATATACATTTTGCATGAGCTTTGCAAGTATATTTCGAGCATAAGCATCGATATCATATGACTCCTAATCTTATATACATATATCATCTTCATGAATTCTGACAATTTTCCAAGAATATTTCCACCAAGATGTAGATTACATTGTACAAATGATGTGCAAATGTATTTGCCCATGCAATAAACAAACAAAATTACAATTTTGTTTATATCGAACAAATTATTGGGTCAAATCCACAAATGAAATGTAAAGCCATGGCTCAAATTGCTAAATACTTTGTTTTAATATGCTTCGTTACCTTATAAAAGCTATGTCGTAAAAAATATTTGAAATCCACTTGAACAAATAGTTATCAGCTTAAATGTCACAATGAATTACCGACATAGAGAGTGAGAGATGGAGAGAGGAAACACTTGTTGTCGAGACCAAGAGATAAAAAAAATAAAAGTGGAAAAAAGTAAACTATATCGCAATTACTGCGCATTTCCACTCCATTTTTTCCAGGTCGTCAAAACAGCAGCGTAATATAATTTAAAAAAGAAGTTGAACAACTGATTTGTTTTATGGCATTTTTCTACGTTTATTTGTTTCTTTTTTCGTTAATAAAATCTCGTTTACAATACGCATAGAAAAAAAAAAACACACGAACTAACACCAATTAGTTTAAATTTCAGATTAAATACTCGACATTATTACATTTTGTTTCTCTTTTCACTTATATGAAGTGGCACTGGCAACATTAATTTGTCTCGTCGACGTGACTTTTTACCATTTAGAATGGCTTCTGTTGGCATTGTTCTTTGATTTGGCCTTTGATCTGGGCGATAACTTGGATATGTTTCTTCTGCAAAAAAAATGGAAAATTTTATTTGAAAAAAAAAGAAAAAGAGAAATGGAAAATAAATGGAGTAAAATGAACAAAAAAGAAATGGCACAAAGTGAGAAAGAAAAGCGAGAAAAATTAGTCGTGTTAATGTCAAATTGATTTAACTGTGCTATATTTCATCATTTCTCCAGTATCTGTGGAAAATTCAATTAAACTCATGGCACTCCCTGCTCTCATCATAATTTAATTTAATTTCAACATTGAAGTATATATTCGGTATCACTTACCTCGCTCAAGAACTGCCATAGCTTGAAAATGACTTCGATTGTGGTGCGCAATTCTCGGATGATGCACCTAAAAGTATGAGGTAGAAATTGATAACGGTGAAATCACCACAACATTATTATGATGCATGGTTTTAACACCGTATTTATATACATACATGTTCTTATCCATGCCGACGTACTTATTACATGCGACCATTTTTACAACTGAATCTTTCAATTCCAAATGATATTGAATCCAGTTCAACGCATCATCACTTTTGCTAATTTCATTTATTATTGTTCGTGTTACGCATAAGACATGCTCAATTTTAATAACAAGCTTTTTGAAATCAATCTTTTTTGCATTTTCCATGTATTCAAATTCAGGCACATCGAGTTTACACTGTGCGGTAAGTGCATCATGAATTTCTTGTGAAGCACCCGAATTATTCTATAGTTCAAATTAAATAGTTATTAAAGTAAATGAAGAGAGATAAATGGTTATAATTGAAATCTTCAAACATATCCCTTATGGAATTTGCACTTACCACTCGAATGTTATCTAAGAAATCGGCCAATGTATAAAGGACCGAACTCATTTCATCTTCCACACATCTGTGTTGCACATAAACATATATTAATTGATTAAATATTTGAAATGCTGCTCGTTAATTAAGAATCAAGAACTAAATTAAGCTAAAGCCACTGCTACTCACACATCGTCTTCATTTGCAAGGCATTCGTAGATGCTATTTGTGTACATTAACATTGGGAAATAAATGGGTTGCCATAGATCGCCTAATTTATGTTTTCGATCAATGGATAGAATGGTTTTTGTTACGCATTCCAATTGTGTAACCGAAGATTTGATTGTATTGTCAATTGACGGTGCGGCAAATGCAATCTGTATTGAAGTGAAAAAAAACACAAAACATTGCTTAATCTTAACCAGTTATCGATAAAATTGAGACAAATACTCAAAATATGAATTTAATTTATACCGAAACGATTGCCGCAAGAATTATGCCCATGAATTTCATATTGTTTTCAGGGTGTTTTCAACTTCAACTTCAACGTGAATATAACTAGTGATTTAGATGAATGTGAACGATTATTTTATATGTTTTGTCAGCGAAAAAAATTCCATAAATTGAACTAAGGCGCACAAAGATACTTTTTCTCTATATATCTCTCTCTCGCTCTCTCTTTCAATAAATAATCTCAAAGGTTAGTAATAGATAAAGTATCAGCGATAAAATTGATTCGAGAGCACACAAATATCGAAGGCAAAGAAATAATAAGAAAGAAAGAAAATGTATGCAATAAATTTTAATTGTTGTTTGAAATGTTCAATAAATGTGTGATTTATGGTCGTAGACATGAATGAATCAATTGCCCATTGAATCGCGTTTGAAATTGAATGTAAATGAAGCAAATGTGGAGGATTAACATCATTAGAATAATGAATTTGTTTTTGCATTATTTAGATTTTGGTTGTTGTCGCTGCTGTGTCTGTCTCTGTATGTGTATATGTATGTCTGAATGTTACCTGATTAATTAGGATGCATATTTAAAATTCATTTCGTTGTCCAAAAAGTATGACATTTGTGTGTGTGCAACTTATGATTCAGCCATTATTATGTGATTTGGATGTGTTGCCACCGATTGCCGCCGCCGACGTCGTCATCGTCAATTCGCAGACACTTTGAGTTAATTTTCGGTTATTGTGGGAATGGGAAATGTGAATAATTATATTTAGAAGGGAAAAAGGCATGTGGGAGTTTACATAAATTTACTGTTTTCGCTCGTTTATTCATTTAAGCTTATGCGCTCGCGCGCACTCACTCGCACTTTATTCAACGCATTCAATTTATCAAATTAGATAACGAGTGTGCTGAAATTCATTTTCGCCACTTTCCACAGGTAATAACATTTTGGGTTGAGTTGTGATTCCATAGCGAAATGCCGTCATCAACGAAACACAATACAAATAATGACTGCACATAATCTCAACCTTATTATCAAACATTAATGATTCATAAAATATTAAAACGCACAACATTTTGCAGGCCATCCGTTTTGTTTTATCCTTCAGAGAGAGAGAGAGGGAGAGAGAGAAAGAAAGAGAAAGATCTAGCATCATTTTGCTTACCTCCCTGTGCATACATTGTGGCGGCGTGCGTGTGTGTATGACTGAAATACATCACCGTAACTTTGACTGTTTCTCACACGCTCCATCACAATTATCATGTTTTGCCACTTGTTTGAGATTTTCCGAAGTGAACCGCAACACTGCACGTACAATGTTTTGTGCGAGAGAAACATAATCAAATGCGCTTCGAATTAAGTGAACAGCTGATACGTGCCCGAATGTGTTTATCTTGGGTGTACTCAGTTGCTTGATAAATGATTTTACTCCTTGCTCACTCTCAACAATCTATTCTCTCACTCTTTCGCTTCTCTCGAACATTCAAACATCACACTTGGCATCATCTCTCCGGATCTGGATCGAAACAACGGAAAAGAACTTTCAACATCATTTATTATACACGTGTAATTCTCTCTTGTTGTGTGTCTGTGCTTGTTGTTGTTGTTTTTATTTTTTCATTTGCCAGCATTTCTATTCGATATTCAATGCAGCATTTTTTTCCTCCTTTCAAACATCCCCCCTTAAAACAAAAACACAGTGAAATTACATTTATGAGTGTGCAGAGAAGGGAAAAAATGCCGCATCATTGATAGCATTTTATTCGTCATCTTTTTTCCATCATTCATATCTTATGCAACAAATATATAGCAGAATACATACAAGATACACATACATTTTAGAAAATTGATGCAACTCAAGTTGATCTTACGAGCTGGTGAGCTATAAACGATAAAAGACTTCAAGGATATCTTCAATTTCAGGTTTCTTCACCTGTACATGGGATCACCTCCACCCATCATCATACGTATCACAACTACGATGTAATATTTTGTTGATTCTGTTGGGTTTGGGGTTTTTTTCTGGCTAACTTTTGACTTCAGTTGCAAGACTCCAATTGGGAAATCTTTTAAAGTTGGCAAAAATATTTATACATATTTGAAAGGAAAACTTTGTTGAATAACAATTGCATCGAGCTCATCACAGCGGCTTCATTCTATGAATTTATATATTTACTGACATGGGATATGTCTTATTTACGATTTTATGTGAAAATGATAGATTTCATGTTAAAAATGTTATACCTAGTACTAACTAAAACAAAGTAATATTTGAAACCAGACAACGACCTTAACATCTGTATTGTATTCATTTTTGAAGGGGTATTAAGTTTCATGATTCTATTGAGCTTAATAATACTCTCTAATTAATTGTATTTTGTGTTTTACCAGAGATATTCTCCCTGCTGAAACTTTATAAATTATAAAATACTGTTGTTAATTGAAATATTTATAGTATAGAGTATCGAGCACTTATACTTATTTGGCTTTAAGAGATGGAAATTTTACAAAATTGAGGAAATTATTGTATTTCACACATTTTTTGTTACCAAAATCATCAATTAGGTTCAAACAGTTTTCATTTCATTTTCAAACTAAAAAGAAAATAAACTTTTCAAAACCTAATAGAAATTTCGATAGGCCTCAGGAGATAAATTAAATTTGGCACGTGCGTAACCAAAGAGACGGAACACTTTTCAAACGGACCATGGCAAGAGAGAAAAATGTGCTTCAAGTGCAAAATGAAAATTCATGAATAATTTCCGGTTCGATGTGACATTCATGCATGCATTGACCAATGGATTTCCTTGACAAGTTAAGCTTGCTAAAGTGGTTTTATAGAACAGCCCGTTTTCATTGCATTCGATCTGTACACATACTAATTCTTCGATACACTTAAGCGTACAACATTATAATGAAACATTTATAACTTGTTAAGAAAATGAGTTGAAAAATACTTCATTTTTGGTATGTTTATACTGCTCAAGTTTAAATTGTCTGAATCATCGTTGTTTGATGCACCGGAAAATGACACATCCAAATTTTAGAGTCGTTGTTGAGAAAAGTGTGCTTGATTTTTTGTGTGTTTCGTTTGCCTTGTTTTGTCTACTCTCTTATTCTCTCTCTCTCTCTCTCTCTCTCTCTCTCTCTTTCTCTCTAACACACCTGGAATTTTAAACAAGTAAATGACGAACACCTTTTACTTTTTTGGGATGGAGAACGTAGGGAATGTATCGTGTTTGATGCTGTAATGGACGTAAACATATATGTGCAATGTAATCTCGTTGAATCAGCACATTTATATTTAATTTGATGACAATGTCGAACACAAATGCTTTTTATTAATGTGCAAATAAAAATAAGCAGCCAAAGTTGTTGTAATCATGTTTTTCAACTGTTTTTGATTCGACATAAAAAAAATTATATCGTTCTGTTTGTGTTGTAGCAACTACACAATTTACATTGATTTATAACTTTGTGGCATTCTCCCTGAACCAATAATAGTATACTACAATATAGTTAGTAACAGTAGTATTATGAATTTTGATATGAAGAGAGAGAGGGGATTTTTCTTGTCATCAATTTTCTTTTTCTACTGAAAAAGTCATTTTTTCTTTTCGAACTTGTTGAATTTTCTTCAAAAAAAAGTTTATTTTGACGATACTTTCTTTTGTAGTCACTAAGTTGGTTTCAACAAGATTTGTAAAAGAGATGCCAAAACTTTACGACAATGGCCAAGAAAAAGCTTTTACAAATCTCGAAAATCAGACGAATCAATCAGGTAATTCATGTTTTTTTGGGGGTATTGCAAAAAACATTACAAATTGTAAGAAACTAGCATTTATTTGTATAACTTTATGAAAGCGAATCGGTTCTACATTTCACTAAGACGATTGAATGATTTCAAAAATCCATCCCGATAATGATGAAAAACAAAATGTTGAAAACCTTCAAAATGCGTGTTACTTTTTCCAAAACCAATGAAAATATGATGCACACAAATGCTATCGCCGAAAAGCGCAAGAGATGTAAAGCAATTAAAGTTAGTAGTCATGTTTTCGATTTTACTGTATTGTTTAATGTTCCGTCAATTTTTAGCTTTGTGTAATCAATGAGAGCAGTAGATTTTCCGGTGGATGATCCTTATTTCGTTATGAGGTATTGCACCGCAAGGCCAGTGCTCAAGCTCATTCGTCTCAATTCGAAAGACACGCTTTTAACAAATACAACAAAAAAAAATGGAAAAAAATAACATACTTCTGCTGGTTTTATGTCAATCATATTGGTGAAAAGAGCGCGCAATGCGCGGATAGGCAAAAATGTTGCACAACATTATCCAGAAACGTGTGCAGAAAATATATAGCAGCAGGAGTAGCAGCACAGCATGTGTGTGTGTCTCTCTCTGCTTGTGTGCTGGCGTACAGCGAAAAGTTGCGTTTTAAATGGGATAAAATGCAAATAAAATGTCGGTTTGATGTACATCGTGCATTCAAAGTTGGAAATGAGCACAAACAGTGGTTTAATGCACATGCACCATGCCATGCATACTAATGGAGATATCAAAAATCATCATCTTGTTATTTAAAAAAAACATATGTGCACATCTTTCTCTATTTTGCGCTCTTTCTCTCGCACCTTCTCTCTGTTACTTTCTGTGTGTGTTTCTTGTGTATACAGCAAAGTTGGAAGGGGTCATGTGTGTGTGCTTGTGTATGATGTTGCACTCGGAGAAATGCAGATACCAAAAGTGATATAGAGCATGTATGAGTGCGATAAAATGTTATTCTTGAATTCACTGCGGCTCTGCCAGAAACAGAACTCCACATTTCTACAGAGAAAAAGAAAATCAGTCAATTCAATTGTGAATGAAGATCAAAGATCATAACATTATCTATGACCAATGAGAGATTGCGGACACAATGTTGCTCGAAGGCTGAATTGCGAACATTGCACTATATATGTTTTCCAAAGAAATTACTTGAGACGAAAGCGAAAGAGGGAGAGAGAGAGAGAGAGAGAGAGATAGAAAGAGAGGATGAAGAAAAATAGAAGAACGATTGCACTCAAGCTAATGTTTATACCTTGGTTTCTATGTGTGCTGTTCAGCTACCTCGGGACGTTTCTATGTGTTTGGGATTATTTTTTTTCCT